TTTTTTTTTTTGACTCTGACACTTTGAACCTGACAGTGTTGAACAGGACTGATGGGTGCACAGGAATGTCTTCTGTTGTACTTAACAGTTCAGGGGAGCTGAACCTGAGGAGTTCAGATGGAACTGTCTGTTAAAGCTAAACTTTAGATGGTGGAGAAGTGACGACATCTTCAGCTATTCAGATTTTTTCACACACACTGTGGGAAAGACAGTCTCCTTCGCACGTTAACCTGAAGGTTAACGTGTGAAGGTGAGATTCATGGTTCTGGGTTGAGTTTTTACTTAGCTCCTCATACATCTCTTTTGGACTAACACCGTTTCTTCTGGTTTTTCTATGAGTATCATGCATGGATGTGCAGGTTCAGAGAATCTTGTATAACTTATAACTCCTCAGTGGGAGCCAAGAGCTCCATGAAATTGTTAGTCATGATCAATCACAAAGCCTCTGATGGATTCTGCAGCACCACATGCTCCTCCATCACGACGGCAGGCTCAGCTGTTGAGGAACAGATGGACAGACTGATCTTTAGGCTCGGGGAAGCATAGGCAGCATGAGTGCAGAATGCAGGATCAGGAGGCTGAGGTCGGCCGTGGAAAGTAGACTTTTTTTTAAACATCAATTCAAACAAAGGGACAGCATTTTTCTAGACAGACACCTTGGAGGCTGGAGGTTCCAAAAACGTTAAACAAAAATCACATTTTTTTCTAAAGTTATTATCTAATGTTTATTTGCAATCCAGTCATGGGCCAGATTGGACCCTTTGGTGGGCCAGGTATGGCCTGCGAGCCACCAGTTGATGATCACTGCCGTACAGTCTCTGCTGGAGACACACAGCTCCTCCATTCTCTCATCATTTCTGCTTTTGTTTATATACTAAACCACTGAAGTGCTATACATGTAGCATTTGTTAGCCTAGCATAACACAAAATCTAATCCTAACTGCCAAATCTTCAAGTTCTAGCATCATCCTAGCAAAAAAATTTAAAAACCCATACAGATACGAACTTCTGGTGTGTCAGGCACACAGCTGGAACAGCTGGTGTTGAGCTGAATCAGAATTTGTGTATCCAGCCCTCAGTGTCGAGGGCCAGGCTTTCCTGATTGTTTGGATTGAACCTACCAGCAGGGAACGGTTCGACCGGGCCTCGTGCAGCGTACACACGTGTCAATCATGTGTCAGACACAGCATGAAAAACAGGCTGTCAGACAGGACTCTCTGTCCGACCTGCCTCTAAATCTGTCCACGTCCATCACACATACATCCATCTAACCCAGACGTCTCTTTAGGGTCTGACTGTGAGCTGGTTGGAACGAACCACCCAGGTCACCCAACAGAAGGAGGTGTGTAAATAGCTCCAATCGCTGTTTAAAATTGGACAATAACTTTAAAAATGATAAATTACAGAAAGAAACTTTTTTCTTTTTTTTTCTCTTCTACAGAGGCGAGGATAAGACTCAAAGATGCAGGTCATCCTTCTGTACGACCCCAGTCGATGGACCCCCGACAGATATGGCTGCACCAGCAGCATAAACATGAGGAACCATGTAGCTGTTTGGAAACCTCAGACGCCGGCTTCAGGAGGTCTGGATATTTGCATAAAATGCAGGCGAGTGCTTGGATTTAGAAAAAGATTCTTGAGTACATGGTGAAAATACAAAGATAGTTTTTTCTTTGTTGAATCTGGATAATTGTTATTCATCAGGTAGGGAATAAGAAAGTAGACATTTCAAGGGTATATTTGAACCACTGCGAGGACAAATTTGATAAACGGTAAGCGAATCTGATGCTAACTTTTAGCTTGTTATCTTGTTGGATAGCTTTTTAGCAATATTAGCCGGTATGTGACCCCTTACATTCAGTAATCTGACTTTTAGCTATGTGCTAAATTGAAGTTGGCCTTTTTGAAAACTTTTCTGCAGCCCAGCTGTTTGCCAGTGGGTGGTGCTGTTGCATAAATTAGTACGCAGCCTCTCTGAAGGTCGTCACCTTTTTATGTAGACACTCAATGATATTCAGTGCACAAGTGGAAATATCTGGTCTGGACCAGTGCATGCATAATTCACCTGGTATAGCTTGGATTTGGGGAAGAAAAAAAAACTGACTCTGACTTTGTTCAGACTCAGTTCCATCCTGGTCACTGTTCACCTTCCATACTGGTCACACACAGACACCGGTCACACACATACACATGGCTCTCATCCCCTCTGCATTAGAGAAGCTTTGCCTTTGTCCTAATTGGCTGCGTAATCTTTGACACCAAGCGTGGAGTTAAGCTCTCTGAGGATGAGGAGGAGGAGGAGGAGGAGGCCTTCCTGGAGGTTTGTGAATCTCAGTGGGGGAGGAGAGGGTCGGGGTCAAAACTTCCACAGCCTGAACAGCCTTGTGATTCACAAATGTAGTCTTCCGGATTATTCCTTTAAATCATCAGGAAGGAGGACCAACGGTGGTCTTTGACCTTTGTTTGAACACATTTTCATATCAGATTATTATTTTATGTTTGACCTCAAAATTTTTTTGAGGCTTTTTTCTTTCTTTCTGGGTACGTATCTTCTGGCCTTTAAGATAACAGATCAATTATTATTTTTTTTTTTAATATAAATTAAAATGTTAATTTGAAATGGATTCTGGTTTGGCAAAAAAGGCTACTACAGAGTGCACCATACGGGGGGCACGCCATTTCATAGTGGTGTCTGAATGTTCGGTGAGTAGAGGTATTTCACTAATGTATCCCACAGTTCATCACGAAATGTAGCGTACCACCGAGGGTCAATACCCAATCAATATATCCCACAATGCATTGCGGTCGTCACAACATGACTGAAAAGAAGAGTACCGCCTGTCTGTCTGTTTTAATTATGCAACAGTAATGATGTAATTAACTGCACGCTGAAGCTGTGTCCACACTGTTGTGTCCACTTTATATAATTCCCTATTTAGGAATATAGGGAATGAGTGAGTGATTCAGGGAAGCAGCTTGTGTGTCTTCTGAATGAAGTAGGAAAAAGGCAAAACACACTAAAAAGAACTATTTAGATTCAAACTCTGGTGTTAGGGAACTGGTCGAATATGATGGGAAAATATTGATGACTAAAAGTATTGTCAGATTCTGTTTCAGACCTTTGGTGTTCTTCGTCTATCTCAACCCACAAAATCTTTACAGGCCAGTTTTCGACCCATTTCTTATTTTCTCAACGTTCTCCTCTGACGCTCGCGTCTACCCTCTGCTGCTGCCTCGTGTCTTTGTCTTCCTCTTCACCTCCTCCTCCTCCTCCAGTGCAGTGAGGCTCATACCAGCCAAGCAGTCAGGCTCCTGACAGAGCTAAAACCTGTCTTATCAGCGAACAGGAACCATTATTAGGCCTGAATGGAGAATCGAAGAGTTACTGCGATGAGAAGAGAGCAGAAACGTTCTCACAGCCGCAGTTATACGAGGTGTTCATTATGTCCTGCAAGAAAAGGAAGCAAGTCCAGGAAATACGCTTTTCAATGTTGTAGTGCAGAATTTAATTGAAAAAAGAAGTCGTTCATCAGTTTAATTTGATTTCTTAACTTTTCTTAAGTACTTAAGCACCCAGGGAGCAGTGTGTGGGGACGATGCCATGCTCAGTGGTAACTTGACAGCTGGTGGACTCGAACCTGAAACCTTCCAAGTCCGCTTCCTTAACCACCAAGCCATCAGTGCACCTAAAATTAAAACTACCGCCTGAACAGGGACTTGAACCCTGGACCCTCAGATTAAAAGTCTGATGCTCTACCGACTGAGCTATCCAGGCTCTATCATGGGTCAGTAACTGTCTTCAGTGGTTCGGACTTGGACTGCGACCCATGGGGGACGTGACTTGGACTAGAAAAGAAGTTTAGCTAAGATGCAAGAGTTCAGTTTGTTTTGTTTTACTTTTTATAATTGGCATTTTCAGGGAAACTTTTTCATTTCTTGTGATTCCACTTGGCTGTTTTCATTCTTTATGATAAGCTAAAGGAGGGGGAAAAAACTTACAGCCACACATCATGGGGATTTGAACTTTGGTCATCAACACAAACAAACAATTTGTTGAAATGTCAGACAATTCCTTCAGAGGGTAACCTTTTTATTTTATTGGCTCGTAGCGTGTACGACTGCACACCACGTATAATTTAACTCATATATATAAATTTCTTAGCACTGCCTTCTTGTTGTTTAATATTTTTGCGCCTTTGTGCTCGTTCCGCCACGACTATCGATCTGTGCGAGACGTTTGGTTTCATCAATCTGTAAAAGAAAACCACGTTCTCTCTTGACAGAGACGAGTGATTCTAGGAAGTCGCCTTGAAGTTACAGAGAAACGACCGAAAATATATGTGGTCAAGATGTGCCTGAGGAATTTTGTTTGGCAGGGCTTGTGATCGGGGGAGTTGCGGGGTTGACTGCTCACAAAGGGCAGACTTTTATCAGCAGGGATTAGAGGTTTTCAAAAGGTTCTCAGGAAAAGATGTTTCCACTCGTCCAAATGATTTTAGTCACTGGGAAAAGCTGACAGTGAGGTCAAAGATGGACCTGTGTGGTGGACAACGGTTTGATACAAACTAAAGTGCATTTTTAGTCTCAGAAGAAAGTGAGCCATTGTGGCAGAAATAGGAGAATTCAGTGCCAAAGATCTAAGGTGGGTCACTAATAGATATGCAATAGTGAAAAATATATCGCAGTTAGCTAATTAATATATAAAAACCCCGCTAAAGAACAGATTACTTAGAAACTGCTGAAACATTTGCCATAACTTCTAACAGAATTAGCTACAGGTTGAGCTACAGTAAGCCAAGAAACTAGCTAAGATTTAGCAAATACTTCCAGAAAAGTTAATCAAGGATATTTTAAAAGTTTAAATAATTGGACAGATTGGGCTTAAAAAAGCTAAAGCCCAAACCAAGAAAATATTACAAAACAACAAAAAAGTTAAAGCTAAACGTTAGCCTGCAAACAAATGACGTTCATTCAAAAGATGTTGTTACTGGACGGATTATAGAGTCAGTTTCATCTAACTTATCAACTTCCTTTTAACTACACATCTGCCACCTACTGGGTTACGTTTACAATTGCTTATTTATTTTATTTTTTATGCATATTTTGTATTATCTTTTTTTTAAAGATGGGGCTATTAATGCCGACCAGCAGGGGGCGACGTTGACCGTAATAAGCTGTGCTCTTTAGTCAGCGAGAAATGAGAATATGACAATGTATTATTTATATTACGACGGCATACAGTAGTCACGCGTGTATTTTGCGTGTGTGTACATGAGAATGCGGCTGCAACGCGAGACTCGTCCGTCCATCAGGCAGCAGACACGAGAGGCTTAATTACACTAATTATAACTGATTATGATTCACGGCTGCGTCTGGGCGAAATGGTGAGAAGGAATCGTCATTACAGTGGATGCATAATGATGGCTGTGGCGATAATTGGTCCAATTAGCTTTGAGGCTGCAGTCTGTTAACACGCACCCCCCCCAATCCCCCAACCTCCCACCCCCGAGGGAGGAGGAAAATGAAAAGGGGAAAAAAAAAAGCCAAAATCGATAATCGATTACTAATTGCTTTGAGGACAATATAAATAACTGCAATTGGTTTGTTATTGTGCCTACTTTCTTGTGAAGTTCTCGCTCTCTATCTCGCGGTGCACGCGCACGGGTGAGCGCAGCAACGTCATCGGTGCACGCGCCCGCGCTGCTAACTCCCGCTCTGTCCTCGTGAGCGCTGACTTGGAGAGGGAGCGCGAGCCGGGCGGGCGGTCTCGTGCAGATTGATTAACAAACAAATTCAAACAGGAGGAGGAAAAAAAGAACAATATAACATTCGAAGCAACACGAAACGAAGAAGAGACTCGGGGAGATAATAACGAGTAAGACTGAGAAAAAAAAAGCCGGGGGGAACGGAGGAGAGGAGGGGAAAAAGTGAGAGAGAAAGGAGGAGGAGGAATTAAACCCCCCAAAAAACGCAACACGTATCCGGTGGGTCTCCACTCCTGAGCGGCTGGAGTTGGTGCAAAGCTAAAGACAGCGACAAGGAGACAGCAGCAGCAGAAGACAGAGACATTTCCAGCCCCCAAGCGAGCGATTTTTTAGTCACAAAGAGGAATAATGAGGAACCTTTGGATAATTCTGACCCTCTGTCTCACCGCAGTCCTCTCCGGCGGACGGGTAAGTTTGATTTTTTGGCGTTTTTTCGCGGAGGGCGGCGGGGGGTTTAAACGTCTTTACGTTAATATGAGCTACAAGTCGGCTCCACGTATACTGTCGTCGCTTTTGGGGAGGTTTTAAAAACAATAATATTTGCTGAATGAAAACGCTGTTTGTTGTTTGTGTCCAGTGCTCGGTAAATGTTTGGTTAAGTTTGTTTGTTGAGTCTCGGTGTTCGACAAACAGGAGTCAGTGCTGCTGTAACCGCCTGTGTTAAATGTCCTCAAGTCACACAATCTCAGAAACAGCAACAATTTTTTCCTTTTTTTTGCCCGGGGGGCGAAAGTAAAATGATTAAAAATGATGAAATGAATTTACATAATGCTGTGGTTGTCGTTCGGAATGTGCACGATTCTGGACTTGTTTTTTTAGATATGATTTCCAACAAAAGAAAAGGACCCTTTAGTTAGTTACCTTTAGGATAGTGTGTTCCTAAAGCTGTGGTTAGCGTACCACTGGTGGTACTTGGGGCCCTCTTTTTTGTGGTAACCAGGAGAAATATGATTTATGAACAAAAGTAAACATGTTGAATCTAGTACTAGTTTCTGCTTGTGTGTTTACTGTATGTATTAAGCTAACACATATATATATATTAGGAATAAGACCACACTGGTCTGGCCTGTACAGAGTAGGCCTGTTCTGTTTTTATTTTTCTATACTACTCATACTGGTGGTACTCAGAGAGCCGTATATTTTTGGAGGTGGTATGCCGTATGGAAGGCACCGCTCCGAGTACTGAGATCTGCTTCTCCTGGTCGTTCCTAAATCTTGGCAACCGACCAGTGGCAACACAGCTTATTCAGTGCTGCCACCTAAACTCTGGAATGAGCTGCCGACCCACAGGCCTCTACTCTGAAGCTTTAAAACCACACTGTATGTGTTGTGCTATATCAACAGAGCAGATTGGATTGAAGTTTGTTATTTTTTGTCAGTTCTTGTGTGTTGTTGTTGGATCCACCTGTGCAGATTATACGTTGTCTTTCTTTAAAGTAATGAAGTCGGAATAATCAAAGTGGATTGAAAGGTTTTTGAAGCAAATCCATATGGACGCATGTGTGTGTTTTTGATGTGGGGAAAAGACCACCACTGGAGGCCTCTCATTGGACCACCAGACATTTTGTGTAATTGTCATGAAATGGGACTGTGACTATTTAAGATGAATTATTATTGTTTTATGTTGTGCTAGTTTGTCTGCTAGTTTATATGACTCTAAATTAATTGTTGTGTTTTTGTTGTGGTCCATAAACAGGATGAGACGTTGTCATCATTATTCTTTTGATGATGACATTTACACAAAGCTTCTTTGTTTTTTAGCAACATACAGTTTCTGAAAACGTTAATCTATATTAAAAAAAGGTGAAAAATAGCACATACTTGGCTAGTTTTCCACAGCTACCATGTTAACCAGACACTGTCTAACATGGAGATTTAATGTGTTAAATTTGGATGTATTTTAGTGACATACTGTAGGACAGTAACAGTGGTCCAATCTAACAGCCTGGGCCTTGTGTTGAAGCCCATACTGTCAGTTAAAGTCTTTGCCCCCCCTCCAACCCCTCCCCAGAGTGGAGGCCTGATTTGTTATTGTCTCTTCACGGCTCCTGAAGTCAGTGAAGAGTCGGCTGTAACAGGGCGTGCGTCGGGGGGGACAGAGTGGGGGTCCAAATTGCCTGGCTTCTTTCAGTGACACATTTTGGCACTTTTCATGTGCAGCCCCTGTCATTATTGCCCCCTCCTGTTGTTTCTCTGTGGTCTGTGACTTGTCGCCTGGCCCATCGCCTACCTCTCTGTTAGAGCTGCTTGTCCAATTAGCTGATTCAGACTCTGCTCCCTTAATGACTCATTGTTTTGGAATGATGTCACCTCACTGTGACTTCTTCTGAATTCCAGGCTGTGTCTCCAACTCCGGAGTTCTTCCTTCATCCTCGACAAATTCTACATCATCCTTAGAAAAAGGCCCTGAAAGATGAATTCCTCTGTTAATATTGACTTTTTTTTTGTTTGTGTAGAAAGCTTTACACCAGCATCAGACCTCGATGTTTGCTCTCAATTTTCTTTTAGAGCTTTTAAGATGATATGTCACCACCTGTTGACTTGGCAGAGTATTATCAGCAATAAAATGTTATCATCACAGTTGATACATTAAGTCAAAGGTGCCAAATGACAAAATCACAGTCCAATTGGGAGGAAAAGTGATGATAGTGCAAGGTGGATGACATAAAAGAAGCTTTATGTGCAGTGGTGCTGTATGGGATTAGTGAGGGAGGGGCTTAGGATGATATTAAAATGTTATATCAACAAGTACATAGGGAAATTTCTTGCAGCGCCCCTATCATATAATGTCATTAGTCCATATTTAAAAACTAGATATTTCAATTCTGAGATTAATTTGTTATTAATCACCTCCATTACAGAATGGTTGTTCATCCATCTGATGACAGAGGAAACAACTCTGTAAATGAGACGTTCATTTCATTAATTTCCATGAATCGGTCCATAAATGCTGGGATGAGGGAAGTTCAAAGTATTTGACCAGATTTAAAATAATTATCATCCACCATTTCCTTTACTATGAGGAGCTAACTCTCACCATTAGCCGTAAAACTTCCCCAGATCAATGTTTCATTCCCACCTTTATCCGATTCCCCTAGAGGCCACGCCGAGACTTGACACGTGACATTGATTCTGGATATTAACTCCCGTGTTGACAAGTATCTGATAACCCACCCCAGGCTTCTGTGTCTGTGCAGCTCCTGACTTTAGAAAACGATTTCAACTCAGACTGGTGTTAATTTAGTTCCACCACTGACCTGTGCACCACAGTACCGTCATCGCTGCACTGTTGTCTGGGTACCGATTACGGTGCTTTTATTTCCGACTGTTCCTGTGCTCGGCTCATTACCTGGGCCGTGATGCTTTTTGTTACACTGCTTAATGTTGAATCTAAATCACAATGGGACCATGCTGTTGCTGTTGCTGCTGTTGCTGTGTAGCTATTATACCCTGTTTTTTCTACATTGCCAAGGTCAGGAAGAGGATCACAGTGTTGTACTTGGGTTTGTAGCATTTCCGCTCCTTCTTCTTCCAAGAACTTTAGTGATCCAGAAAGGAGAGTTCGGCGATGCTGCGCTAAGCCCGGCCCTCCCCCGCCGTGTTTCGGTACACGCCACTCGCCAGATGTCGGGGTCTGTAATTTGTGTCATGTTTTGGTGGGAAGCGTGGGTGTTGTTCGGCTCTCTTTACATCTTGTGATTTACAGGAGAGAGGTCTCTCTCTCTCTTTCTTTCTTTCTCTCTCTCTCTCTCTGTGTGTGTGCTGTCTCGAGCTCCACTCCTTTCTTTCTCTCTCTCTCTCTGTGTGTGCTGTCTCGAGCTCCACTCTGGAGCTGGACTCACTTCAGAGATGGGGGTTGGATTTGGTCTGAGCATCTGAGGGTGCTGAAGATGGAGACTGACTTTAGTGTGGTGGGGAAGAGTTTGAGGGAAGGAGGACGGAGAAGGATGGAAGAGATGGAGACAAAAAAGGGATTTCTGAGGCAACACTTTTTGTTGAAATTCTCTGGCATTTGTCACAGACTGACCCCGTGACCCCATTTAGAAGGATGTTGCGAGAGCTGTCCTGGTCTTTTCTCTAAAGGCCAAGTCAGGTCAGATTGTTACGATAAACTCCCTCCTTACAACCTTCAAATGGCCTGAAAAGAAAACATGAAAGAAGTCCTGATATAACAGCGGTGAAACAGCCACGTTAAGAAAAACCAAACCTGAGCCTGAGGTTTTTTTTGATGAGAAAAGTGTTAAAGGTGGAGGCTGTGAATAAATTGGGATGTTTTTATAGCACAGATGTTCTAACACATCAGTATCAGCTTTGTTACCTGTGAAATTTGTGTTTTCACTAGGGCTGTGTATTGGCAAGAATCTGGAGATACGATATGTATCACAATACATGTGCAACAATACGAAATATTGCCATATGCTGCAATACAGTAGGCACAAGATATTGAGTTTTCCATAAATAATTTAATTGTAAGAAAACTGTCAGCATAGTAAAGGGACGTTGTTGTTACATGCTAACGTAAGGTTACTAAAATCCAGCCTTAAATGCATCAGAAATAGGAAATACACCAACTACTGTTTTCTCTTCAGTCAGATTTATGTGAAAGTGGAATGAGTTTTGAAAGCACGTTATTTTCCACTGCACTCGATGTCACTTTAATCCTCCCTCTCACACCCTCTCCGAGGCTCTGCGATATATATTTATTTGGCCTGTATACCATGAGGCTTTCATGAGCCTTAATGAGCGATATTCATTGGATATTTTCATCCTGCTCTTCAGCGATAAAAGCAATATCCTTCATCGTGAGCGCCTCATTTTCCAACGTACTTCACGGTGATTGAGTGAAATGACGATTAGTGGCGAGGTTTACAGGTTATTCCGCTGTTTTTACATCATCCTTTATTAAAAAAGAAAAGCAATAGAAGCGTAAAAAAAAGAGAAGAAAAAAGAAAAAGGATTCGACAAGGAAACGCATGCAAGGATAAAAGGATCAAACCGTGAAGTTATTTTTAAAAGGATATTAAAAAAGGCCAGGGAAGTGGAAGTATATTGAACCACAGAGGAGCCGGAGCGTACGTCCCGGCTGCACCGGCAGCTTCTGCTTCTCTATATTTAATGACGCTCTTTTATTTTGCATTAACCTAGAATTCCTCCGGCCGAGGACACAACCTGCTCCCCACCAGGCCGTCGCCTGTGGTTTTAACTCACTCGTCTTTTATTTTGCTAATAAATCATCCACTGACCCACTTGGGAACGCTGCGCTTCTTCCCCCTGTGGACAAACCTAACTCCTTGTCTTGTGTCCATTCAGGATTGGGGGGGCAGGGGTGGGGGGGTTGCTTCATCCGTGTTGCTCTTGCCTATGTAGCATTATGCAATCACTAATGGACTCTACAGAAGGCGGGGGGG